GTACACTACTGGCAGCGACACTGAACACACGTTCGAAGTGCGTGCTGGACGGAAGGAGGACGTTGTAAAATAAGAACACCGTGAACACAAGGTTGTGATTACATATGACTTAGTACCCAAGTGTTGGGGAATGCAGACGCCATTGTAGACTCCTCGCGTCTTTTGCGCTGTAAGTCCTTTTGCGTCATTAAGTTCTATTGCACACCCTGCGGTTTGCGTTGTGCAACGCTTGGGAAGCCCTTACCTAAATCTATATGCCTCTACACTAGTGTTCATCTCTACTATAAATCCCACTGCTTTACAGTTAGTGGGCTCGAAGAATGCGTTGGGCCGATGAAAAGCTCAAGTAACCATCGCTATCGAGCTGTATTAGCCGTCATATAAGTCGGCTAACGCCTTCCAGAGCGCTATGATGAAGAAACAAATGCACAGCACCTGCGAGCATGCGCATTCGCGAGACAGTTTCTATGTATGACCAACAGCTGGCGTTCCATGGCGATTTCCGCCAAACTCTAGCTTTCAAAGCCACGTTTACTGTTACAGCTGCGCATGAATAAACTCTTTATTGGTCACTGATTATTGAAAAAAAAAATGAATTGAACAACAGTGATCTAGTGTTGCCGAATGACGAAGTAATAAACAATGACTAAATTACGTAAAATGTTATTGCTTACAAGACGCTAACTGTACGTAGTTCTTTAGGTAAAATATCATGCTCGCAATAAGTAATAAGAATAATAATAATAACATTGTTGTTTCCATCAACTATGAAGGAGACTGTGGGTAAAACTTGCTTGAGATACAAGCAACTTGACAGAAGGCCTGCAGCCACCTCTGCAATGTAGCAGCGACAGCACACATGATGACACAGAAACAAAAAAATACTGTTAATTCATACATAAACAGTTACATCAGCATCACTCTTGTTTACTATGCGATCATAAATTAATGAAAAGGTCACGCAGTGTTCGTAAAGAAGTAAATTGTATTTTAATGTTTGATTTAAGACATAAGTTCAAAAGGGTTGGTAAAGTGTAAGATATTCGCTGCAAAGAGTCATTTCTCCGCGCGGCCCTCCACTGTTCCGTGTGACGTGTGCTATATGAATGTGTTTTTTTGCTAGATTAGATAGCTCACGGAAGAACTAGAAGTTTTCTTTTATTTCACATTTGAACGCTAGACTTAACTTATAATTATGAAGATTAAACACACGAATTATATTTGGTTTGAAAGATGAATCTGAAGCGTGGGAGTTATATGGCACATTGAAAACTTGTCGTTGTAGTATGTGAAGTCTTTCAAGATTAGTTTGTGTTGTCGTACCCCATACAAAAAAAAACACAATAGAGTAAGGAAGAAAAAAAGAGTGTGTTGTAGACAAGGAGCTTCATTTTATAGGGTAGCATACACCTGTGACGCGCCATCATACAGACCTCTTGAGATAACGTAACTAAAACTGATTCCACGTGTAGATCCCAAAGCATATTTTGTGTAAAGATGACTCCCAGTATTTCTACATTATTTACTATTTCGATTTTTTCATGCGCATGAGCAAATGTGATGTTATTGCAGCTTATCTGCTTAGATTTTGACTAGAAAATCATGGCGTTTGTCTTTTTTGTATTATTTTGAAGAACGTTTGCTGCTGACGATTCTTGGAGGGTTATTAGAGCGGTGTTGGTTTGGACGCTAGTTAGTACTTGACGTTGATGCTTCATATTTATGTTTTATTTCGTTCCAGTATGTGTTATTTGTTCATAGCAGAAAGCAATTCTTATTTTTAACTTATATATTTGCATGTTTCTTCATTCGTTTGTTCACGTAAGCCTGGGCAGTGGCTGTAAGCATTCGCAGAGACCGGGTCAATGCACTCGCGACACCGAGGTGAGTGGCGGAACAACGCTCGACGCGTATCTGTCTCATTTTAAGGGTTGGAACTGTCATTCTGCCCCATGCGAATAGCACTCTCGTGGCAGTGCAATTTAGCACTGAAAGCACCCCCTCCCCCTCCCCCCGAGTATACACTATCTCTCTCTGTACAATGGGAGTTTCAAAATATTTACTGGCATAACATTGTACAAATGGCACCAACTGTAAGATCAGAGCCACAGAGAAAGTAAAAAGAAACGGATCTTATTCGAGTCAAGTTTGCAGAATGCTCTCACGTATCGTCTTGTTGACGGCGCCTGAGGCTGTGTGAGGCTGGAGGGAACTGGCAATGCAATAAACAGACATTTCAGAGTTGCTTCCGGGAGTTGGTTAGTCAACCATCGCCAAATGTTAGCCGATACGCTGTACTGGTCACCCCTTGGCAATTGCTAGTTCCGTACCTGGCTCGTTGGCTCGCCTTCGCTGGCGGTAACGTTTGCGCAACCGCGTGTTTGTTTCGCGTTCGTCGCACAGTCCTTCGTGGTGTATAGCGATTAGCGTGAGCCGCGCTTCTCGCTCTCTCCGATTCGTGGCAACTTGTCGAGTGTAGGTATGCATGCCGCCTGGACGCACGCTCGGCTTCCGCGTATAGTATGACGAGAGATGGGGAGACACAAGGCAGCGCAGACCGCGTACATGTATAGTTGTCCTTGGGCGCGTCTTGTGACGCCGCGCTTGCACACAGTCTGGCGCGCACTGCTGGCCAGCTGAGCTTTCGCTGCTTCACATCCGCCGGGGCCTCTCCGGCGCCAGTTTCCGGGGCCCGATGCCGCGTGGGGCGTCGACTAAACGGACGCTTGGCAACTGCAGCGCGCCTTGCTGGTCTTTCAGCTGACGTCGACGGTATTGCCACCTCAGATCGGTGTGCGGCGAAACTTGGCGGCCACGAAAACTGCGTGCGAAATTGTGGAGCCGATCAGCGTCTTTTTTTTTTTTTTTGCAGAACGGTTCTCTTATCCTGAGAAATTGAAGCCACCCTGCAGGATGTAGATGTGTAATAATAACACTGGGTGGGAACAGCAAGCGTATAGCAACCACCATTTAGCGCGTGGTTCGCGCTTTGGTGCTTGAACTTCATACTGTCGACAGCGCTCAGTATCGCAGAAAAGGGCGCAGTCATTCGCCACTGGAGCAAGTGAGCGTAATGTTGCCGGTGCCAGGTGTTGTTGGGAGACGGCAGTGCGAATATGGAAGGTACCACGTCCATGGAGCCAATCCATTATATTTTTCTCGAAAAGTAGGGTAACACCACAGCTTCAACTCTATGCACTTCCAACTTGGTATCTGTATTCTTCGCAGTGACGGCCTCTTTTAGAACGTGCTGTTTCTTTGAGATAGAACGAATGCATACACCTTGACAGAAGAAGTAAGTGAGTGGTATTTACTATCTGCTAAAGAGAATCTCTTGTCCGATTTTTTATTAATATGTGTGTGTGTGTGTGTGTGTGTGTGTGTGTGTGTGTGTGTGTGTGTGTGTGTGTGTGTGTGTGTGTGTGTGTGTGTGTGGTGTGTGTGTGTGTGGTGTGTGTGTGTGTGTGTGTGTGTGTGTGTGTGTGTGTGTGTGTGTGTGTGTGTGTGTGTGGTGTGTGTGTGTGTGTGTGTGTGTGTGTGTGGTGTGTGTGTGTGTGTGTGTGTGTGTGTGTGTGTGTGTGTGTGTGTGTGTGTGTGTGTGTGTGTGTGTGTGTGTGTGTGTGTGTGTGTGTGTGTGTGTGTGTGTGTGTGTGTGTGTGTGTTGGTGTGTGTGTGTGTGTGTGGGTGTGTGTGTGTGTTGTGTGTGTGTGTGTGTTGTGTGTGTGTGTGTGTCATCGTGCGCGCGTTGCCTCCAGATTACCACTCCACCGTGTGGCTTTCCTGCCGCTTAACAGGATGCGTGCATGCTAAAAAAACATACAAAAGGAACGCGTTCAAGTGCTCTGTCATTCAAACATTTTCAATGTCCACTTGAAACTCTTTTAATGGTTTTTCCTCGTATCCGAATCCACGTGCTACTCTCTCGTTTCCTCCGTAATTCACTGGGCCTAAACAGGAAGGCTGAATCACCGTACGTCAGATAAGCGCATGAGGAGAGTATTGCCGGCAGAAGGTAGCGCAGCAAGTTGTAGTAGGCCGCCATTAAGTGCTTTTCATTAAGCGATGGCGTATATCGGCTGATCTCCACGCGCAGCCGGCAGCGAAGGTCACCGGCAGTGCGTACTCGCTGCTCACGCAGTGACCGCAGCCCGAATGGAAACATTTTTCGCACAGCAAATCAAACAACATATATAGCTAGCCGTTGAATGGTTCGATTCGTGAAAATTAAAAGGGCCTACACGAAACTAACTTATCTCAACATTTTATTTTCTTACGTATACTTTCGCGTCTACGCTTTGAACAGAGCACGGAGATAACGAAAAGCCGGAAAGACGTTGGGTTAAGTTTCCAGGCTGACTTATGTCGCCTTCCAGAGAATTCTACGAGCTACAGTGATAATTTTTATATCTATCAGTATATATCACTCTCAAGAAGAGAGAGTGTCTGTGACTATTTTCGGGGAGTTCTGGCTTGCCACGTATACGACTCTCTTACAGAGAGGTGGGGACTCTCTTGGTGGGTCAGAATTATCGGTGCGCTCCAGGATATTACTCTGACCCTCTTATGCCAAAGTTCTTATCACCTTCTGAGGGAGTCAGACGACTCTTGCCGGTAACGCTCCTACGTGGGTCAAATGGCCCACCGAAGCGTCAAGCGACTCCCCAACTATCATCAAGTGTCCCAATTGACCCATGCCCTACTTTTGGGCGACTACTGTGGGAAATAGTAAAGTATTAATTTTGAGCAACTTCGATAATAACTGCCGTTTTGCCCAGCGGCTGCAAAAAAAAAAGTTTAATTTTAGCATTATTTTTGTAAAACTCGCCAAAACAACTAAGCTTTTCCAGCTGAGTAATATCCAGAGCGTGAGTATATGGTCCATGATTTCCAATAACTAAATTGAGGTATTCCTCATTTGCATGCTTGTATCATTATAGCCAACTGAAATGTGTGACTATGATGTGCATAGTGTCATAAGGGGCGAAATAAACTGCAGAATTAGGCATCATGTTTCCATATTTATTCTTAATAATTATGAATAAATTGAAAAGCGGTGCCGGCTGGAAACATCAGACTTGTGACTTGCTATTCTGTCGCTCCTGTTTGGCGTGAGCAGTCATGCAAAATGACAACTGAAAAGCAGAACGTGATATGATGAGAAACGCAATTGTAGTAAGATTTTGTAAACCCCACCCAAAAGGTGGTTTAAAGAGATATGATGAAGGCTCACAACAAAAAACAAACGCAAACAGGTAGGGTGAGAAACCATGTTTCTGCCGTTTCCGTGTAAAACACAACTTGTGAATAGTAGCTTTTGTAACATGTCACTTGGTGACAAACTTGCTATGCAAGCTAATGTGAGTCTTTTAAACCAGAAAATAAATTGGTTTAAGCTACTTTGCGTGAGTGCCACTTACCTCTTTTCATATACGTCGTCTCCTCCAACCAAAGGGAATGCAGGGCCGACTGCCTCGTTGACCGGGCGAACGCCCCTGTTGATTTTGCCATGACGAGTGCTGAGGTGCCAGACCATAGCGACACTTTCGCATGTGCGAGTCTGGTTGTCCACTAGAGCGAAGAAAAAGGAGAAGCGATCCGGAATTCTGGAAATAACCCATAGACCCCCCCCCCCCCCCCGAACACACAGACTGATTAATTTCATTCACACCACACCGTTTGATTGACACACCTTTACTGTATACACGCATATGACACAAGAGTTTTGTTTTAAATAATTTCGCAACAAAACAAGGAGGAGGCGGGGACCTCGTTTCGCAATAGGCACTGGCTATGCACGATTGAAAGCCCTTATTTTCTGAAAAATTGCTTGGAAATTTGCTTTAGGAATAAGCCTCTGGCATATTCCGACAACCAAGCCCATCATCTGGTAGTCAGAGTGGTTGTTGACTGCGCATTTTACAAACAGAACCCATCCTTGCATTCTCAGGTAGACACATACGAGTACGAGCACCCAAACGACACCCAGCGTGCGCAGACGCCGTCTACACAGAGGTATGACATGTCGTAAGCTGGAATTACCACACATAGCTCCTACAGTCACGTACCCTCCTTCGATCCTGTTATAACGCCGAACGTCATCGCAGATGTAAGCAAACCACGAAAGTAAATGGAAACGAGAGGAAAAGTGCACGTTGGAGGCCGCAACAAAATGTGCCGTCGAATTTTTCGCTTTACCGGCGAGGCGTGATCGTAGTATATCGGCACCTAAAATTACCCTTTTTTAACAAAAAAGATAGTTATATATAGTACGTGTACGTGTTCTGTCTGGTGGCCTTTTTTTATTATCATTTCACGCTCCCACGTGCTGAAGCACGCTGCACACTCAATGCTCATGGAAATATTGTTATGAAGTAGACTAAAGGACATCTCAAAATGACCTTTTGCACCTTCAGCAGTGCACACACAATGTGCGATTAGCAAACAATGGCCCTTGATCATAAGCGTTCGCAAGGTCTCCCTTTAGGGGAGAGGGGGTGGTGAAGGTTGGCGCAGCGCCCCCTCCCTATGAAGTCAATGCATGGGGGGCAAACTTTGCGACCCCTCTGAAGTGACCAGGGCGCCCCCCTTCTGCCCCCTCATGCCCACGCCTATGCCCTTAGTAATTGTTTGCATCACTCATTTTATCGGTGCTTGTACAACAACGCGCATAACGGTGTGAACTATAGTTAAGTAACAGTTTTAGTTGAGCATCTGCAACAGCCTCGCAGACGCCGACTGTTGTTGGGGCTGGACGCCTACTTCCACGGAGCTGCTGCACACGCCCAGTTAAAGCTGTATAACTATTGCCTACAAATGCAGTACACTCCCCGTTAACAGACGCACGTTTGTGTGTGTGTGTGTGTGTCTGCAGCTTCCGCCCACCAAGCGTCACTTCGAGCACGGAGCCTGTCCTGACCGTACGTGTTCGCTCGAACGCAAACCTAAAAGACACGTAAGTGGTTTTTTAAGGTTTGAAGGAAAAAAAAAAAGGGGCTAATTTCTGTCTGCTTATTTTCGCGACATGGCCAAGCTCCTTGCAGAGGGAATGGGATAAAAACAGAATAGTATAAATAGAAATAAAAAGAAGACTGAGCACACACGCGATATGCGCATACAGCGGCACCTTCATCACGGAAGCTAGTCGAGAGAACGAGAAAACAAGCTTTACTAATAGTAGAGAAGTTTCAGCCCTGATGGTTGGTGTTCTCAGTCCGGGACACTACAAGACTCGGCTGCCACTCTTGCCCTCAGGACTAAGACCCGGTGGACTTTCCGTCCACAGCAGTTGCGGAGAGCGGTGTCCCGTGCCTGTGAGGGTTGGGAAAGATGGAAGAGAGGTGTTTTTAGGGTGCATGCCCACATCATGTGGAAGACGTCTGATGTCTTCCCACAGTGCTGGCCCTTCCACAGTATTAGTATGTAGCCTGCGGAGAATTCGCTCATCTATTCCACTCATATCCTTACAAGGGTCCGGGTAGAGTCAATGACGCTCTCAAAAATTGAGAACTATTTCTTTAAATGTGAGTAGTGCTGGGTGTCCTGCTCTCCGAGTCCTCAAGGGTTGGAAAACAAAATGTCTAGCAGCCCCGCCGCGGTGGTCTAGTGGCTAAGGTACTCGGCTGCTGACCCGCAGGTCGCGGAATCAAATTCCGGCTGCGGCGGCTGCATTTCCGATGGAGGCGGAAATGTTGTACGCCCGTGTGCTCAAATTTGGGTGCACGTTGAAGACCCCGAGGTGGTCAAAGTTTCCGGAGCCCTCTACTACGGCGTCTCTCATAATCATATGGTGGTTTTGGGACGTTAAACCCCACATATCAATCAACAAAGTGTCTGGCAGGTAAGCGCGCGGGCCATGACGTCACAAGTATCATTACGTCGCAAACCCTGATGTTTTGGAGTCTAGATGATGCGTTTGGAGTGGATGTGATCAGCCAAGCTTTCCGTATGTTTGAGAATTTGGCTGAGAAGTGTCACCTCCCCTGCCATATGAAACGCGCTTCACGAGAGACCGCTTACTCTTGCAATGTTCACTCTGTTTTTCTACCGCTGCCTTCCGAAAGGGAAAAAAATAATTTGCGAAGGAAGTCATGGTGCCATGACCCTCTTTTGATTGTTTTTACAGCGTAGATTCTCGCCAGTGTGAGTGGATTATATCATATACAACAGCGTGTAATACAAATCGCGAATAACAAGACGTTAAGCTTCACAGCGGTTAGGGTAAGGTACACGCGAAGGTTCATAAATATTAGTTTAACTGAGTCATAGGATAAAAATAAAAGGAAGGCATTGTTGCATTATTATGTATTTTTGAAAAAGCCGTGCCGTCTTGGTAATTTTTGTTCTTTTTTTTGTTGAATCTATACGTCATGACATACCAACTATAGCCTAAACCGCCGCACTTCTTAGTTACATTTACAGTTATTCGGGCTCTTTTTCGTTTAGCACTCGTCTCCTTTCTGTCGCTTTGTCGTCGTTCTGTTCTCGCGGTATAACAATCGTCATGCCATACCAACTAGCCCAAACCGCCACACTTGCTGAGGGATTTCGTGCATACGTGAGAGTTATTGATAGGATGGGTCCCAAGCTGAGCATGCGTATTCTAGTTTGGGACGAACAAGTGTAAAATATGCTACAGCGCATTTCGTATTTTGGTAATCGTGACTGCTCCCTTGCCGATCTGACCAATCCCTGGCGTGCCGAGGGACTTGGGAGAGCGGAAGCCAGCGGGCGCATGACCCCTTCAAGCTTGTGACGGGGAAAGCGTTTCAGTCCGCACGGCTGAACGCTCTACCGTTGTAGAGGGGCGAGGGCACGGTGATCGCGCAGTAGGATACCGACTAAACACCCTTGGTTAGTGAGGGGTCGGTAGCTTCACCTAACTGATATTTTACGTTCTGGAGCAGGCGGGCATGAACCAATTAGAGCGTTGTAGCGCATCAGTGGCCGAGTTTCTCAACCGTTTCACGAGCGGAACCGGGCCTACTCGAGCGAAGATACGTAGAAATAAATTACATAAAGCAGCCAGAGGCGTTGGAGGTAGTATTTAATGAGCGTTCTGTTGCCATGACATAGTTGACAGAACCAGTGGTGTTTCAGCTCTCCGATGTTGACATATAGTATTGCCAAGGTCTGAGATTGGTTATCCGTTACACATGAAGAGTCTCTTGTTTAGATGCGGACTAGATCGTCCTCCGTTTCCGACATGCACTGGCGCTCTGTGGCCGAGATACGGTGTTCGTGACTCACCGAATACGGCTACAAGTGACATTTACAGAGCGGAGTTGTGTTACGTAATGGTTCCTGTAATCCCATTCTATTCGTTTCTTATCATAAACTCAACCGAATGGCCGACTTTGGTAATACCGAGAGCGTGTTGCCGTACGGGCGGATGAGAAGTTTATATAAAATCAAAAGAATAAAAAAAACATTATAATGCGGTTTCCTGGTTAGCTTCCCCACGTCCCACACATCGCAAAGATCTCAATCTAGTCTCAGTGAAGGCCGCCCTCGTATCACATAGAAGAGGTTTCAGTCGTGCTAACGCGGCATTTTTTTTTCTTTTCATTTAAAGTCACATTTCTCACCTCATCGTCGTTAAAGCTTTTGTGTCCAGTTTTTTGTTGGTTGCTTGTACGTTTGTCTCTTTCGAACTACAAGCATGTACGTTCGTTGTTACACTAGGCTTTTGATGCAGCTGCTAGTTTTGCGTGGTAAATAAGCTGAACACGCAGTACGTCGAAGGTACATGTACCACAGGGGAAGCAAGGTGTCATGCAGGCATACCCTTCATAATCACGTCGTTCTGTGTGATGTCATTTCCTTCTATGGCGTCACCATCTCCTCGGAGGAAATGAGTCACACATTTTGTACTTTATGATTATTGCACATACATGCGATGGTAACTACGGATTACGGGCAAATTGAGCTTGGTGTTTCTTGGTTTTAGTTACTGAATATTTAGTTACTCAAGCTGATTGATCGATATGTGGGGTTTAACGTTCCAAAACCATTATATGATTATGAGAGACGCCGTAGTGGAGGGCTCCGGAAATTTCGACCACCCGAGGTTTTTTAACGTGTACCCAAGTTTAAGTACATGGTCCTACAACATTTCCGCCTCCATCGGAAATGCAGCCGCCGCAGCCGGGATTTGATCCCGCGACCTGCGGGTTAGCAGCCAAGTATACCTTAGCCACTAGACCACCGCTAAGGGGCTTCCTGCCATAAGCGTACGCAGGGTATACCGCATTTGTCTCAATGAAGCACCATGTATATCTTGACGGTGTCCCCACCCCTTATCCTCTTTTTGCCCTCGGCGCCCTCCAGAAAGTTCACGTGCAAAACTGAATAATTTGGCATTGAGACACGGACGTACTTACGTAATTTACTGAAGCTACAGCACTGTACATAATCGAGTGCTCCTATAAGTTGACATTAAACGCAGTTAATTTTTAACGCAATCGGCGTTTTCCTTTAAGTTTTGCATATAGTCATTTCAAACAATATATTAGAGTTTGCATTGCAAAATAATAAAAGTACGAAAACAAAGTTTGCGTGCCCCCCTCTCATCCTTGGCTCCTTCCTATTGAATGGCCTCTAACGATACGTGCGTGCATGCGCAATCCGTGGTATTTGTAAAATATCTCGGCTGCTCGTTGCCCCCCCCCCCCCCCGGGGCGTACAAACAGTGAACACTCTAGGTAAAATCAACGAGAAGTAACTATGCCAGCGGTATCGCTTGCTCTACTTCACTTTGCCGCCGCAGGTGCACCGAACACAAGATAACAAGGTCGGAGCGTTGCGTGGCGTACGCAGCCGCAGACGGCGTGAGTAAAAACCGTCGCCCTGAGACACACGCCACTTAGCTTACGCAACCGCAGTACAATTTTTATACGCTGTATACCTCACTGCGCTTACGCAAGGCAGGGCCGTTTGCGACGGGAGGCCGCTGTAATCGAGAGTGCCGCCAAAGGTAGCGCCAGTATGAGAGTCGCTGAGGTCGCTTGACAGTACAGAAAGATGCGCGCTCTGAAATAGACGTAAACAGTGGTGCGCTGTGTCGCATAGCCGGAATTGCGACAACAGAGAAGTGATAGCTGAGGGAGCAGTGGGGAAGTTGGGGAGAGAAGTGCGGCCTTGGCGAGTTCGTCCGTTCGTTAGCACCGCTGTCTCGGTACTCGTTTTGTCACTGCTGTTTCAAGTACACCCGCAGCGACGGGTCTAACCAACCAACCAACCAACCAAACGACCAACGATGAGCACCATAATTTGCTCCAAGTGGATACAGGCAGCACAGTCAAACTGTAGCCGTAAGGAAGCTTACTAAACGTTATGCTCGCCTCACTTTCGTGAATAAAAAATGTTACTGCGTGACCATCGTTTAAGGGCATGAATAAATCAGAAGTCGGTAGAAGGGGAATGGGGGTGAGAGACCAAGAGCAAGGGCATGATGGCTCCGACGTATTGTGATACGGTGACACCTGTAGGCCTGCATTGTAATCTTTCTTTTTTCTTGCAATCACATTCTGGAACTCATAGATACTTCTCCTGGTAGGTTGTACTCACTTAGCCGCATGCTTTTCTGCCACCTTCTGTAAACTCAGGGCTCTCAGGCTGTTCCTTTACCTGATCATATTTGAGTATACACTGCGTTGGAATAAAATTTCAATACCAGTTTTAACGCAGGAAGAATATTTTCATGTCATGAAACATTCCCGACATTGAAGCGCCAAAAGAACCATGCAGAAAATAAAGCAACAAAGTGATTTTATTACACAACGTGGAGTCGGTTTGATCAGTTTTGAACGCCGACGGTCGGGAATGTTCGAATCTGTGTGAATCAGCACGAATTCAGTGCGATGAACCTGTTCGCTGTCCGCACAGTCAAGTGACAGTGAGTTACTTGTGACTTATCAGTGAGAATAAATAGAAAATCAGCCAGGTCGGTTTGTACCTCCAATCATGAGATGACACGGCCAGACGGCGCACTGCACCCCAGGGTGCTTTGGCTGTGTCTAGCCTTGACAGCTGCTATGATATAAAGCACTTGCCAGTTCAATGGCCATATTATGGGCATTGATAGGTCAATGTAAATGCAACCCTGAATAAATTTTCAGCATGTAATAAGCCTGTAGCATAGAAGTCAGGGTTATCAGTGCTTTGTATCACGAAGCATTCGAAATGTAACTGTCATGCATATTAGAACAAGTGTTACAACCAGTTGAACTAGTGAATGTAATATTATTCCAGGCAGTTAGTGAATGAATAAGAGTTCTTGCGAAGGAAAAAAAATTCGTTCTGCGACCCAAAACCTCCGCATACACTTATATGCCGGGGGCGGCAACATTTTGCACCCTCTGGCCGAATAAACGAACAGCCATTTTGGAGAAGGCTGCTCCGTGTAACGGAGGGTCTCATCGGTGTTCTAATACCTTTATAAAAACCATGGCATATCCAGGAAGTGAATGACGATGTGTGTGCAAAGCACTGGGATAGTTGGGTGTTACCGTAGATTGGCCACTCACGCAGGTAAATTTGACCACTCACGCATGACCACTTGAACACGCATTGACAAAGCGGTGTACAGTTATATACAACGTTTATTGGTCATAAATTGCATGTTGTTCTAAGTTGTGAATTTCATCATCCATCATTCATAATTATTAGCCGGACTACGTCCACTGCAGGACAAAGGCCTCTCCCATGTTTTGCCAGTTAACCCAGTCCTGTGCTTGCTGCTGTCAATTTATACCCGCAAACTTCGTAAGCTCATCTGCCCACCCAACCTTCCGTCTCCCCCTAACCCGCTTGCCTTTTCTGGTAATCCAGTTAGTTATCCTAATGACCAGTGGTTATCCTGTCTACGCGCTACATGCCCGGCCCATGACCATTTCCTCTTCTTGATTTCAACTGTGATATCCTTAACTCCCGTTTGTTCCCTAATCCACTCTGCTCTCTTCTTGTCTCTTAAGGTTACACATACCATTTTTCTTTACATTGATCACTGCGTCGTCCTTAACTTAAGCTGAACCCTCTTTGTAAGTCTCCTGGTTTCTGCTCCGTAGCTAAGTACCGGCAAGATACAGCTGTTATATACCTTCCTCTTGAGGGATAGCGGCAATCTACCTGTCATAATTTTAGAGTGCTCGCCAAATGTGCTCCACCTCATTCTTATTCTTCTAGTTACTTCAATCTCGTGGTTCGGCTCCGTGGTTATTACCGGCCCTAAGTAGACATAGTCTTTTACAACTTGAAGTGCACTATTACTTATCTCGAAGCGTTGCTCTTTGATGAGGTTGTTGTACATTACTTTCGTTTTCTACAGATTAATTTTCAGACTCACCTTTCTACTCTCCTTGTCTAACTCCGTAATCATGAGTTGCAATTTGTCCCCTAAGTTACTCAGCAATGCATTGTCATCTGTGAAGCTCAGGTTACTAAGGTACTCACCATTAACTCTTATCCCCTTAAAATTGAATCTTTGTTGTATCGAATCTAGCCTGAAGTTGGCAAAGACGAGGTCTGGGCACGTTCCCTTCGTGGTTTGTGGTTGTTTCCAGACGTACGAAATGCATCGTATATAGAGCGCATCGAGACGTCATCTACTGCCCAAGCCAGTCGTTGTCCGTGATTGTCACGGACGGCCAATTTTGGCGACCCGGCGTCACGGCAATTAACGGGCGCCGTACTTCCCCACTGACCGTGGGAACGGCGGGCGCATGAAAGGGAGCCGGGAAGTGCAGAATGGGGTGCTCTTCTTAGAACGTCGCCGCCGACGTTTGATCCTTTTGTAACTGCGGCGGTGTCTGCAAGGTCATGGAAGGCCGCGATGTACCCCGAACAAGGATTAGACTACGGGACACACCGGCTGAGAGCCAAACAGTCTGACCGTTTCCCACGGGGAAAAGCGTGGGAAAACCTCTGGTGGCCAAGCCGTATGACAACATCCCAACAGGCTGTCACTCTCGCTAGTTGAGGGCCCTCTCCCAATTAAAAAGAGGTGGGGTCAATATATTTTTGGGGCGGAGTTTTCATCAATGAAACGTGCATGATTGGACCCATGTAGAGGTCTCTTGTCCCCAAGGAAGAGAGCGGGGAGACACGAGGGGGATTTAAGCGCAAGATTTTGCCCTGCTAGGCAGACTAGTCGCTGACCAACATGGTTTAGAAACAGATCAACAAGTATCTCTTCTAGAAGTTTTTAGTGTGGCTCTGTATCGACTGGCCACCTAAACTTAGCCGTTCGTCTAGTTGTGACGCGATATTAACGTCTGCAACGTAGGCATCGGGACTTCGCCTCGAGTTAGCTCAACCTGCTCGAAATCACCTGCAAGCACTAGCCTCCCGGAGCCACCAGCGTAGCAAGATCACCGACATCGCAGTCGTGCCAGAACTCTCTTCGACTTCTCGCATCCGATTGTCGGGGACGCAACGCTGCTGGTCAACACACGTATGCCTTCACCTGTTTATATCTTCGAACTCTCTCCTACGTAGTTCTATTGTTGTTAGTTTGTGTAGTTTGTAATAGTTCTCTCGCGTAAGCTGATCTATTGTTTTTATGTTTTTGTTGTATCAAGTGTTGATGTATTTTGTTAGTTGTATTGAAGTGTTGTACCAGATCCCGTGTGCTGCAATATCACTAGAGTAAAGTTTGTTTTGTTTTCTCACGTCTCTGATCTCTTCACTGTCTCTGCTTGCGTACGGAACGAACCAGCCTGTTGTCATTCCTGTCGCCGACTTCGCGCTGGCGACGCTAAAGTGGCAGCTTGTAACAGTGATCATCATCGTCGTCATCTTCATCCTCATCATCGTAATGGTGTATAGTGGGTACCATGCAAGTGCTGTGTCATGATGGCAGAAAAAGAATGGGTGGCCTGGAACGCGCTTGTTCTCCATCGTCATCAGCGGGATCATCACTCATGACGTATAGTATGTACCTTACACGCTACATTTCCATTCTATATCTTATGACGCTGTAAGCTGTAAGGTCGAATGACGCTTAATTTCTTGCAGCGTATACATTAACTGTAGACACATTGATGAAGCTGAAAATTCTACTGCGCCTCAGCCGCAGTGACGCAATTGGGCTGTACCACCTGTATACGGACTCGTGCAAGACTGACGAAACGGTAGAGCATCTATACTGCACTTGTATGGTCGTTTTGTGAACGAACTAAATGTTCTACGCAGGGCGCTGAAGGAACTCGGCGACAGACCGTTCTCAGAGGAGATGATTCGCGGATCATGCATGGCACACGGCAGTTGCTCGCTGGATTCCGTGCCGACCGGTTGTGACCTCGCAATCTCCGACCACAGTGCAGCTCTGGCCTACTGGGCTGGTCGTATAGCCATCTCCTGACGCCGGTCCCCGACGATGACGACAGCGTAGCTCTGGCCGACTGGATTCACCCTACGCCTTCTCCTGTCGCCCACAAGAGCTCTCACCAGTGGTGCTCCGTCCTCGGACTCCTGCGACCGTATCTATCTTTCCTATCTTCTCTTCACTTCAGTCGTTCGCTGTCCCTGCGCCTCATGCTCTCCTTCCTCTCTCTCTATCTCTTTACCTTTGAATGCTATCCTTTTCATCCCTTCTCTACCCCCATCCCTCGTGAGCTACTGTTGAGGTGTCCTCCCCCTGAGAGACAGTTACGGGGCTCACTTTTCTCTTCTTTTCATTTAAAATCACCCCTCTCCCCCCCCCCTCCCATCGAAGCGTCGCGGGCATTGATTCTGGTTTGCAAATCGACCATCTTAAGCGATCGCTTGTCGGAGAATTACGGACAGGCGCATATTTTCCCTAATAGCACACTTCATTTCTCTTTACCACTTTCCCCTAGTATAGGTTTAGCGAGCCGGACGCCCGTCTGGTTCATCCCCGTGCCTTTTCTTCCTCTAGTTCCTCCTCTTCCAGTCACTGGTTGCCGACCATCGCTAGAAATGCGCGCTTACGAAGGAACGACCGTGGCTTTGAGTTGTATGGCATAATTAGGCGTCTTATTCTTATAATGCCACTTGAGCATGGATAATCAGTACATGCCTCAAACAGCCACTA